CTACTACTACTACTACTACTACTACTACTACTACTACTACTACTAATAGTAATAATAATAATAATTACATTAAATAACACCTATATTATACAGCTGTATTATAACACCTCTGCTGCCGGGGTGTGTTGACGCTTCTGTCCGGGGTGGAGTGGTGTGTAATCGGCTGCAGGGTCCGGAATGATCCGGGGGACAGAACACTCGTCAGGCCCAGACTGAGCTGTACTGTGAATTTTAATAGAAACAGGGAACCAAACAGAAATGAAAAGATATTATTTCTGTTCTGTTTTGGACCAAAGTCATATTTTAACAGTTTTTTTTTTTTTGCCTGAACTTTACATTATTACATGTTGTATCAGCTAAATGTGAGTTTGCATGTACATCATGAAACTTTACTTTTTACAAAGTCATTTATTTAGAACATTCAGAAATGTTTTCATGAATGTTTTCTTGTCAAAGTAAACTAAAGCTGGCTGTCACGTTGTCTCGTCTTAAAAAAACTTTCTCTCCTCCTGGCCACACCTCCTCACTCCCCCCACCCTCCCCCCATTGCGTTGGGGGCGGAGTTATCCTTTCACAGTGGTGTAAAGTTACACTTTAAATGAGGAGCCTCCACAACGTGTGTGTATGGCAGGGAATTGAACCTGTAACTTTCTAGTTCAAAGTTGGCTACACTGCCACTGCTACCTAAAACAATTGCCTCCTTCGAGCCGGATTCGAACCAGCGACCTAAGGATGTCTGTTCCAACCACTACAGTCCTCCGCTCTACCAACTGAGCTATCGAAGGGACAGCAGCAGCTGTGACACTGACAGTAACAACCACAGCCTCTGCAGGAGCACATGCCTGCTTTGTCCAATGGATTGCATTTAGAAATCAATGTAAAATAATAATAGTAAAAAATTCTTCCCACCTCTAATCATTTTAAATAAACCTACAACTATTAAAGCAGAAACCACTGTTCAAACAAATGTTTTATTTCAGTAATTGACAAAAAAGTTTTATAAAATGTCCACCTGAAAAATCTGGGGTTTTAAAAAGTGAAATAGGAGCTGAGCTGTAATAATAAACAATAAAAAATAAAATAACAATAATAAACCGATTCCTCTAAAATAATCTGAAATTCGTTTTTATCCCTCTAGAGGGCAGCATCGGGTCATTTCTGTGAGAGGTCTCAGCGAAGCTGACATTGAAAGTCAGCCTATTTATCACAGTAATTATCTGTAAACATAAATGAAAAGCTTTTATGCATCAATATTTAATTATGTTTCTTCTTCTTTCATCGTTCCCTATTTAAATTAGTGGTAGACGATGGAGTTTCGTCTGAACTGAACTGAACACAGATGTTTATCCTTTTTATTCAAACCGTCATCTCCAGCTGAATCAGTTCTTTACAAGCAAAAAAAAATAAAAATAAAAAGGCTTTCCAAATATGTTGTATGGTTTTGCTTTGATTAAATGTCAGTAATCATATCACTTAACAGTGTTTTAATGATCATCATGTGTGTTTGAATTCACATCTTCCTAGCACATCAACTATAATCCTTTCTCCAAGCTGTTCGTCAAACTGATCTCTCTCTTCAGTTCAGTGAAAGTGATACTAATGGTTGTAGGTTTTGTGTTTTTGTCTGAAAAGTTTAAAGCAAATCTTTAAAGTGCACAGTTAATATGTTTCTTTAGTGTTGCTGATTGTTGCATTATTTTCTCTTCAGCTTTACCCCTTTATTCTGTCTTTTTTTGACATATCTGTTCCATGTGCAAACTTCTTTTTTGGTTTATCAGGAATAGAGAGGTTGCTCCTGCTGCTGGGGGAAAAACCATCCTCCCCGAACCCATCGGAGGGCGCTGCCTGTGAGCGAGTCCAGCAGAAAGCTGCCGTCACTCTGGCCCGCCTGAGCAGAGACCCTGATGTGGCTCAAACTGCCATCCAGCTCAAAGGTAGTCCGTTCATCCCTTCACACCCTTGTCAACAAAGATAAATAATGTAAATATCAGCAAATGTAAAGAAGAGAATGAAAGGAACAGAAATCAGAGGTTTAAATAAACCAGGTTACTGTATCTGGATTGCCTTATGCCTTGTGCCAAACTCAAGGCCCGCGGGCCTCCATTAATATTTTATCTGGCCCCAAACGTAATACTTTAAATATGAAATACTTTCTCTTTTTGTCACTGGGTTTGGTACCTTTTTTTTTAGGACAGCTGGCCAACTGTCAAGTCAAGAACACACTGCAAAAACTGTCCACCTAACCAAGTTTTAAATCTTATATCCAGCCAAAAAGTCTTTTTGATCTTGTTTTGAGACTGATTTACTGATTGTGTAAGAATAATAATCTTGTTTGCAGAATGTGTAAGATTATTTGTCTTGTTAGCCTGAAAATTTTGACTCAAATTAAGTCAAAATTTTCTGCCAGTGGAGTAAGAAAATTTTACTTGGTAAGATTCTTGAAATAAGAAAAAATTGAGTCAAATCAAGTATTTCAAGAATCTTAAGTAAAATTTTCTTACTCCATTGGCAGATATTTTTGACTTAATTTCAGTCAAATTTTCAGACTAACAAGACAAATAATCTTACACATTCTGAAAACAAGATTATTAGTCTTACACAACCAGTTCTTGTTTAGTAAATCAGTCTCAAAACAAGATCAAAAAGACTTTTTGGCTGGATATAAAATTTTAAGACTTGGTTAGGTGGACATTGTTTGCAGTGCATTAGGTTTGATTTTTTTCGTTAATCTATAAGTTTGGAAAGAGTAACATAGAATCAGATTTATTTATATTTTCTTCTTATTTTAAAGTCAAATTATTGATTTTTAGTAAGATATTTTATTTTTTACCTGTAATAAGATGTATCTTTAAGATAATAAATAAAAAAAAGTTGATAGAGAGTAAGCATAATGTTAACGAAGTTATTCTTTTTCTAAATTTAACCTTTATTTCTTTATCCGTCAGGCTAGGTGTGTTTTAAAAGCTACATAAACATAATTTGGAAAATGTTATTTGTATTTCTGTAAGAATACATAACACTTCTTTAATAAACATTGACAGAAATTGGCCCTTGGCTTGGACCAAGTTTTGAATTTTGGCTCCTTTGTGTAACTGAGTTTGACACAAAAATAAGAATAATAATAAGATTTATCATCAAAATTAAAGAAGAAACCTAAAATGACAGGTGTCTGTGTAAAATATGTCAAAAATGTTTTGCAGATAAAAATGCACAGGGAAAATGTTTTGACATACTTTATTATTTAATATTTTGTCTTGTCATACGGACTTGTTGAGCCTTTGTCTAAACTGGTCTGAGTAGACCTCTACTTTAGCTCACAGAGTAGAAGTCAAACTGACTTAAAAACATAAAACAAAACAAAATATACTGTATTTATTTACCCATTTAAATCTAACTTTGTTTCTTTGCTCTGTTAAAAACACAAAAAAAACCTTTTTGGAATTGTGCATATTTACATATTAGAAATCAACATATTTAATATGACTATAATAAAATGCAGAGTAAGGAAGAGATGCAACTTTTGAACATGTCCAAATAATAAACAGAGAATAAAACACTATTTTAATAGAATAATCCATCATGTCCTACCTGGATTAGGAAGAGATTACACCTTATTTTTTTGTTCTTATGTCGTTTTTTTTACAAATTTGTTTTATTCTTAGGAGGAGAAAAAACTCTATCAATATCAGTCTTTTGCTGTGCTGAATTATTTCTACATTTACATTTATTTAAACCCAAAGAGAAAATAAGCCGGTTTACTGAAGTCTTCCTCTTCGTTCTTCAGCTGTTCCTCGTCTCATTGAACTGTGTCGCTCCCCCACTGAGAGAAATAACAGTGACTCTGTCCTGGTTGCCTGCCTGGTACGTATAAAAAGAAATATATGAAGTTAAAAGCCAACTTTGAACAATGTTTTATGATCCTGTGTCATTCAAACATTCAAATAGCCCAAAAACATTCCACATTTCATTTTTTTCCCCCTCTGGCACAGTGAATGGATTATTTCCTACATGAATATGTGTAACATTAGTACAACAGTGTGTTAGTACTCAGAAGGGAGCGGAAATGAGAAGATATTTTTGTTTCCCAGTTTTGAAAATAAAGTCAAAAGTTGAAAGGTTAAGTATATTGTTGACTGTAATAAAGTTGAAATATTATTTCCAAAAAGCTGAAAAGTTTAGGAAAAATAGTAATAGTATTTAAAGATCAAAGTAAAAAAAAAGGTCAATGTCGACAGCAGTAGGCTAAATTACATTTATAAGAAACTCAAAATGTTACAAAAATCAACTGTAAAAATCCAAAAATGTGAATAATAACTGCAAAACATCAAAAATGTTAAGAAAATAATCAACTGAAATAAAGGTGAAATACATTTTTTAAGAAAACTTCAGTAGTAGGATAGAAGTATTCAGTATAAAGTTTTCTTTCAAAACTTAGATCAAATTTTAAAAATAAAGAAGCTTTGGCAAAAAAGACGCTCTTTGGTAACTGTAAACATTGTGGAAATGAAGTAATGACTGTACTTTATAAAAAGTTTTGATAGGAAGAAAATCCTCTTAGAAAAAACAACTTGCATCAAGACTTGTCAATCTGTAAATTTAAGTTTAATATTTCTAGACGTTTGAGCTGCTGTACAAATTTTATCAAAGAAACAAAATATCATTAGCCTGGTCCTTGCCTTCCTACGCAGCTCCGCTCAATTCTAGTTTCCCTTCTCTGCTCCGTCTGGGACTTCTCCCATTGAGATGGATTTTGCTGGCAGACTTTTACCTGGGCCAATCAGAGAACAGAAGGAGGAGCTTTGAACCACGTCGATTTTCTGAGCAGTGTCTGCTAGTTATTTTAGCATACAGCAGTGGAGGAAGTGAATGAAGCCAGTCTGTGTCGATAAGGCTTCAAAATTAAAATAAATTTGTCTGACAAAGCAGCAGCTCTCATTTACAGTCGGCTTGTTCGGCTCGGTACGTTTCTCCTCTCAGTAGGGTTGTTTACAGCACACGCGATTTCCGGTTATCTTCTTAGCTTAGCCTCCATCACAGCGACATACGTCGCAGCCAACTGATCCAATCATTTTAAACTTCAGCAGAGGCCACGCCTCCTGCAAGAAAGCGATTATCTATGCATCAAGTCCAGACCCTTTGTACGAAGCAAAGTGAAGGACAGAGTCTGGTTTAAACCAGGCTAGAATATCATTAGAATTAAACTATTTTTAGGTTGTATGAGCATCAGATGTTTTGACAGTGTTTCGAGGTCCAAAGAGAATGTCCATTTGAAACTTTTATTGTGAAGGACCGCAGGAAGTTCTATCGGTGTAACGGTTGTAAATGAAGATGCTTTGGGAGTAAAAAAGACCTGAAGAAAATGCTTCATGTTGTAATTTTGTAGTTTATCCTGGAAAAGAGGCTTCAAAATCCTAAACCCAGATAGGTCTGGGAACTCAGCTGGGTTAACCCCAGTCCGGTTGTTCGTTCAGCCCAGAATAAGCACAACAGTTTCCTGAACTCCGCAGGCTCATTTGTAAACTCTACTGTGGCTGTTAAAACTCAACAAAACAAAAACAGTTTGTTTTGGTAATCTGAACGCAAATTACTTTCAACTAAACTGCGATCTGTGCTCTGCTACCTCGGCTAGCTAAAACTTACTGCTACTTCCGGTGTTTGACAGGAAGTCATTCCCATAAACATTTCTACAGGACCCCCACCACTAATGCACTTGTTAGCATTTGTGCAGCAATCTTAGTAGATCACCTGCAACACGTTTATTAAAGAGCATGTGTTTTTTTAGTTTGCATGGTTTTAGCAGTTGTTATTTGGAATCTTAAGGGTTCGACACACGGGCAGCGACAAACTACAGCGAACAACGGCTGTCATCGCAGCCAGGGTGAAACCCGATACACGGGACGCGATAGCGATCGCAGCGTTGCGAATCGGCTCTCAGGTCGCTTGTCTTCACAAAATTTGATTGGTTCTTGACTCTGAAGGCGGGTGTGCATTACGGACGTGTAAACTAAAGAAATCTTGCGATGCTAATGATAATGAAAAACAAACACACATCAAGATACAGTTTTATGAGGAAAAACTTACCATAAACTTCACCCTGGTGCCAATAAATTCCCACAAAGCTTTTTAGTAATCACTTGGTGAAAGTGTTAGCTAACTGCAGTGTGTAGCATACTCTCCTCTCATTGGTCAGTCAATGAAACCCTCGCTGATTGGTTGTACGCTAAGCGACAGCGACAAAAGTTGAACATTTTTCAACTTTCATATGTCGCATCGCAAGCTCGCGTGTGCACGTCTACGTGTACGAGCGCGAAATTTCACATGCACTATTTTCGCCACTCGCTTAGCTGGAGGAGGGCGAGCGATTGTCGCCTCACCGCACAGGCTCCATAGGAAATGGATGGAGTGCGAGCGACGTCGCCTCTCCTGTGTCGAGCCCTTTAGTAGTTGAGGCCCTGTGTGTTTAATGCACAGCTTGTTTGTATTTTCCACACTAAAGTACATTTGCCAAGAGCTTCATTAGGTTGGCTGTAAAATGCCCTCCTCTTCACTGAGTTCACACTCGTCCGTCATCTTCGGGTTAATGGGATTCTGTTTTATGCTTTTCGCCAGGGGTTAGATAGATGTGTAGATGTTGAATACCTTCAAAGAACATTGAGCTTTCATAAATCATTTGTAATCTGTAATGTAAATGTCGGAGGCTCTCCTGGCTGAACAGATCAGACGTGTCGTATATTAATCATTCGCTCTTCAGATGATTTCATTAAAACAAGTGCCGCTCAGAAGAGACTGAACTTATTGGTCTGTGTACAACTCAGCCTCCTTAGTTGTCTTTATACGACTGCATATGCATGTGTGTTTTGTTGTATCCATCAAAGCAGCAGGACCTCAGCAGCAGATAATGCGTGTCTTCAGTGTCTGTGCTCATGCATAATGTCTCCTCGTGTCTGCAGGCTGCTCTGAGGAGGCTGGCAGCGGGCTGTCCCGACAGCATCGAGGCCGCCGACCACCAGCAGCTGATCAAACCGCGGCTGGTCGATTCTTTCCTGCTGTGCTCCAACATGGAGGAGAGCTTCGTCTGATAACCTGCACGCCCCAACACAGAGAGACAAAATTGACTTACAGTTCTGCAGTACTGAAATTTGTTTCCTGACATGTCTTCTGCTTTATGTCCTGAGAGGATTTCCCAGTTTTTATTTTGAATATGACTAAGCACAATACAAATCCATAGTTTCAGAACCAAAGGAGGTTTTTTTATAACTGTGTTCAATATTTATGTAATTATTTTATAGGCATAGTTATTTTTTGCTTACTGTGCAATTTTGTGTTACTGATAAAATTCCAAGGCTTTAAACACTGTGTAACACCCTGACAGAATTGGTCATTACGAAAACCAAAGGTCAATTTTGACACGTCTAATTAGTACTTTGTGTACTTCGAGTTTACATTAACTTTTCAATAACTACAGTACCATGAAGTAGTCATCTAGGGAAAAAAAAACATTACGTTGCGTTATTTCCAATCGTACTTGCTAGCAATTGCAAATATTAGAATTTCTACAGAAAAAAAATCTCAATTAAAAAAGCTTTTTATTTAAAAAGAGTTACTATTATTGTATGTAATGTATGCAAAATAAAGGCTTTAATCCAATCAGTGTCAAATGTCTTTATTTGTGCTGTGATGAACTGAGTATGCTCTTGTGACTAGGATAAAATAACACATCAAAGCAGGTAGACAGGTTCAAAACTGTATCAGAGTGTGAGTCGCCCAACCAGGAATATTACAGTAAATGGATGGTACTTAAATGGCACCTTTCTACCCAACTAGGAAACTCAAAGATCAAACTAGTTTATGGCTGAATTGGATCAGTCATTCTCCAACGAGAGTCAGACATTTGATTCCACCGGTCACATGTTGAAGCAGCCCTGGGCAAAGTGCAGTACTTCATGCCCCATCAGTGTATTAATGTGATCTAAAGCAGTGATTCCCAAAGTTGGGGTCAGGGCCCAGTGGGGTCCCAAAACATCAAGGTGGGATCCTAAAAAGGTCTTTTGAATTGATTAAACTAAAAAATTATAACTAAAATATATTTTTTTGCCTTTGTTGCTACAAAAGAGTAAAGTTAATGTACATAAAATGGACAAAGAGTAATAAATATTGCCACTATGCCCTGGTTTATTTGACATAAAACGGTGTTTATCAACCAACAACAGCTGGGGTCACAGGTTTCTGCTGCTGGTATTTTGTGGGTCAAAAGCTGAAAAGTTTGGGAACCACTGATCTAAAGCACTGATTAGCGGTGTGTCCTTATTTTCTACCTCCAATTTGGGCGAATCCATACTTTTTTCCTCAGAATTGAGTGATTCCATGGTTTTTTTAAAGTTCAAAACCATGATACAGACAGCTTCAGAGCTGGAGAAGTCTATCGAATGAGAGATTAAACCTCTTCAAGAAAGAAGAAAAGAAGTCCAGTTGTCGTCTACCCATGCCCTTAGGACATCGTCTGTTTATGGGCTGTCCATGAAGCTCCCACCGCCCCACTATCCTCCCGCTGTCTCACAAAACACGTATCCACACAACTCAGTGTGAGTGAGGATTAAGGAAGCCGAGAGGTCGTCCACCAGTGTGAAGGTCACTAGTTCACTCATTTCCTGCTTCAACATCAAATAAATTATTCTTACTGAAATGCAACCGTGTTTGTTTCTCACTTTTGAATAATTTCTTATAAAAGCATCTGATGAACAAGTTCATGTCTGAGATCAGAGGAGGATCCAGTTTTCTAAGACTGCTCTTCTCTGAACACCCCTCCCAGTCCTCCTAAAATACCAAATGTTGCAAAAGTTTTAATGCAAAACTTAAAACTCGTGACTGATCTCGGACATGGCGCAGAAACTAGTGGGAAAGGAATATACGATGACTCATGTGCCAAACTTGTGCTTTGTAAAGCCATCTCTTTGATTTTTTTTTTTCATGAAGCTTCCTCTCCTTGGAGAGACAATTGAGGGTCCTCTTGCTTTTTCTTATTTCACCTAAGGGCATTAATGCTCAGTCTGAACTTGTTACACTCCAAGTGTTGAGACAATTGAACTGCTTTGTGTGTGTGTGTATGTGTGTGTGTGTGAGAAAGAGTGTTGTCCAGCATACAAGTGGGACTGTGTTCAGAGGCCTTTGTATAGAATATGCTCCTGCTTCGCTTTGTTGAGAACCAATAAAATATGTATTAACGCAGAGGAGGACTAAACAGACAGCCTAAAAAACACAGGTTCCTTTGATATGGTTCTGCCTTCACCATGACCATGAGACCAAGTGTTGCAGCTTTGAGTGTTATTTTTTTCAGTTTCTAAGCTTCAGAACTGTCACTATTCTCTCTTTCCAACATCTTCGGTCAGTATTATCTGTTCCATTCTGCTCCTCATCCATAAACAAAATAAAAAAGTTTCAAAGTGGTGATCAAATGGAAAAGAAGCATCAAATAATTCAGGTTTAGTTTGTTGTTAAAGTTCTTTAAAAAAGTCTAAGTAGAGCAAAGTCATCAGTCTTGAAAATTTACATCTCACGTAAAATTAATTACTAATGAATCAACCTCGAGTCATTTTTTGTTAGCTTTCAGTCTGAAACTATGTGTCTCAGATATTTTCTGTAAGAAAAGATTTTCAAAAATCTAATGCAAAAAGACACTTTTTACATCTCCTCATTAGAACTGTTGTGTTTCATCACTTGCTTTTTACTTGGAAATATTTGTCCCCATTATTTTTTTGATATTTTAAGATAAAACTAAAACTCTCAGTTACTTTTAAACTGCTTTCAAAGGTCAATGAATTGCACTTTTTCTATTTTGCAAAATGCACAGATAAGTGCAAATTAATCTGGTCAAGTATTTCTTTAGCAGAGAAATAAAAAAAGCAAAGAGTATTGCTATTTCTTTCTTTTTGTACCCACTTGGTCACATTTTATAGCATATTATTGATTATTTTATTTTATTTATTTTTTTGGTGGTTTTGGGAGGGGGTGGTGGAGTAAACCATCTGTTCTCAGAATTTCAAGGCAAACCTGTGTTTCAGCTCACTTAAGTTGTATGATTTCCTGAAATCAAGAAACGATTATTTGAGTCTGAGCCACAGATCACAGCAGTTGTCATCTTTAAGTCATCAGGTTAAACATGATCTAACTTTGATCTGAGAAAACAAATGGAAATGGAAATCAGTCTAACTACACCTGCTGCTGGTACATACAGTACAACACATACAGTACAACACATCTAGCATGTTGGGACAAGGTCAATGTCCTGTTTGTTTACATGGAGGAGGGGGGAGTCTTAAAACATTTACTGGAACCAACCGACTGGAAAGCTGGTCCTGTTCCAGCTTCATTTTCCAGGTTAAAGTGTGAGGCCTACCTATTATTTACCGCCAATTACCTACTTAATTTTTTTAAAACAGCTGGCCTGCAGAAATCTAAAGATGGTGCAACAATGCGTTTTATGAGAGAACACTTGAAAAAAACCCTCAAATTGCTAATTTTCTACAGCAGTAACTTTTTAGTGTTAGTGGAACTATTTATTCCCTCAAGATTTCCACAATCACAACTCTCTGCACTTTGTGATCTGTTTTTTATTAACACTTCGTTTGAAGGAATATTTTTCTTTCCTTTTTTTGGTTAACCAAAGTTAATAATGAATGAACAAACAAAATTGACAATAACTGTTTATTTAGTAAAAGCTGTTTATGTGGAAGCTGCGAAAACTACTTTCACATGCAACACAAACCCCCTTGTGTGAGTGCGTCTACACCTGTCTCACATTTGACTGCAGCACATACAGTATACTGTATATACCCTGACACTTAAAGTCTTATTATATGATTTAACTTTCTCACAGTTGGATGTCTAAATAATTATTCCTTATTATGTTTTTTTAAAAAGGTTTTTAGTCCCTATAGTGGACTTCTGTTCTGAGGCCACAGAGGGATTTTAATTACACTAAATATAAGTTATTAGCTCTTGGGGTCACATTTGCCAAAATCAGTGGTGCAAAAAATGTTCTATAAACAGGTTTTTATTAATTCAAACACCAGAATACCAGAATAAATAAAGGATGTATGGTAAAAAATAAATTAAAAATGATCTCACTTTTTTATGTGGCAAAAAATGAATAAATGTTAATGTTCAATGCAATATTTTGAAAATAAAAATCAAATATTTAAAAATGACTAAAGTAGTGCTGAAATAAAGCAGATAGCTGATGAGACAATGCTCCAAACATATAGGCAAAATAAAATAACTAGATGGGACACTAGCATTATTTTGTCATTTTGTGAATTGGTATTAGAAAAATATCATTTTTTTCAGCTTTTTAGTGCAGGAAAAAAATAACCATGAAGTTAGACTTGTACTGGAGCGGATCAATTTGTGACACACAGGGTCAAAGAGCCAAATCCACACACTGAGTTATGACCCTACATGTCCTCTGACAGTTCGTGAGTTAAAACAGCAGAATCCCCAGAAATGCTTCAGTTGAGTTGGTTCCCTGTTCTGGGTTGATGACCCACCGTTAATGTTGCTGACTCAGGTGAGACAGTTCACTGCTCTGGATCAACGACTCACTGAAAATACTTCAGATTCAGATAAGTAGAGTCACTGCTCCGGGTTGACAAAACCCTGGAAATGCTTTGAAATCAGATAATTTGGGTCAATGCCCTGGTTTAATAACTCTGCTGCTAACTCACCCCTAATTTACACTGGATGTGGTTCCACTGGGGTCTGACCGCCACAGCAAATACACAACCATGATGATCAATGAGTGTATTTACACCGGCTCCACATGGTCGCGCAGGGCAGCGGTGAGTGGACGGCGATTAGCCAAAATTAGATCCAATTCTATTTTTGCCAAGCCGCTCCAGAGTCAAACTACAAAGATCATGTTGCACCAACAGGAAAAGGAACAAGCACAACATCCATATTTTCAAAACAATTCACAAAAGGCAGACTAATTTTGTCAAAATCCTAGCTATAATAAAAGAAATACAATATATGGATATATTTCTACACAAATGCTGTCAAAATGTATGGTTCTGTTTAGGAAGCAAATGGCAACATGTAGCATGCAGCATATATGTGTATACACACAATACTAATAATATTTGTGGATTTTAGTTTGAAATCAGAAGTTTCAAAAAGACGACAGTGATGCAGTTTCAACTGTGTTTGGAGACCGTCTTTCACAAAATTAGTTATTTTGCTCAGACTTCCACATTTATCACTAGATTTATTGTACGATCTCGCGTTTCCAGCAGCAAACAGCAGAGCGGAGTGGATCGTAACAGCATGTAGTGTAAATTAGGTGTAAAAAAAGAGATTAACTTAAGTTTTTATCGGATAAAAATAAAACCTTTTGTAACAAGTGATGTTTTTTTAACTTATAAACTATAAAGTCATGTGAGAAGAAAGCCAGGCTGAAAAAAACCTAAAAGAATGAAGGTTTGATTAATGCACTTTAGGGAGTACTTGTGTCCTTACAATGACGCTTGAGAAGAACTTCCAGTGAGGTACAGAACAAAAAGGTTCATACTGTGATTTTTTTTTGTTTAGGAATAACTGATTTATACTTTCATAAGATCCAAACATAAAACAGAAGTTGAACCAAAACCGACTGA